TTTTTTTTTTTTTTTTTTTTTTTTTTTTTTAAGAGATATTGCTGAGGAGTTAAACCTCCTAACAAAAGTTTATAAATATTACCTCTAAGAAATTTACTAGTATCTAGACTTCATTATTTTAAGCGTCTTCATTTTATTGCATGTGGACAATTCACCAAGTAAAGGTCCTAAAGGACAGAGCAAAAGGAAATTTAGGTGGTAATATCAAAAACTGAGCCAGAGTTCATCATAGCAGGACTCAGTGGGATGATACATACAGTATCCAACAAGACAAATACAGAAAATACAGGGTTTTGGTGTCTGTTCCTCTCAGTTCAAGCATTTTATAATAAGAAGCCATTTGATTATAAGTAAAAAATTAGAAGTATCTCTTTAAGCATGAAAAATTATCATCTCCACCTTCTGCTTAAAATAATGTACTATATTACTATACTTCAAATAAAAATCTGGGTGGTATTGAAAATTTTGTTTATAGGCTTATTAACAAAGAGAATGAAAAAGAAAATATCTGAAAAGAAACATGTCACACCTTAAGGGAACAGACAATGATGGAGCTAACAAACCTGTATTGCAATATGTAATTGTTTCTCCTTTTTGCTTTCAAGCACATTCCAAAGCCTTTAATCACATTATGCACAGTTATATAATTGAATCCATCGTGTTCTTCTGGTTAGTCAGCTTCATCCTAATTATGCAAACAAATGCATCAATGTATATTCACAGGGATCAATAGCCCTCTCATCCAAAGATCTCCCTTCCCACATGGCACTGCGGAACACTAAAATGTAACCAGTGGAATCACATGAACCTCATGCGGTTCAACAAGGCCAAATGATGGTCCTGCACCTGGGTCTGGGTAAACCCAAGCACAAACACAGGCTGGGCAGAGAGTGGATTGAGAGCAGCCCCTGAGGAGAAGGACTTGGGGGTGCTGGTGGATGAGAGGCTGGACATGACCCACGTGCACTCACAGCTCAGAAAGCCAAACATGTCCTGCTCTGTATCAAAAGAATTATGGGGCCAGCAGGTCAAGGGAGGTGATTCTGCCCTCTGATCTGCCCTCATGACACCCCAGCTGCAGTGCTGCATCCAGCTCTGGGGTCCTCAACATAAGAAGGACATGGACCTGCTGGAGCAAGTCCAGAGGAGGCCATGAAGATGATCAGGGGGCTGGAGTACCTCTCCTGTAAAGACAGGCTGAGAGAGCTGGGGTTGTTCAGCCTGGAGAAAAGAATCATAGAATTAGAAAATGGTTTGGGTTGGAAGGAACCTTAAAGATCATCTTATCTCCAAGCCCCCTACCATGGGCAGGGAAAATTGCACTAGACCAGGTTACTCAGAGCCCCATCCAACCTGCCTCAAACACTTCAAGGGATGAGGAGTCTGCAATCTCTCTGGGCAATGCACTCCAGTGCCTTTACCACCTTCACAATAAAGAATTTCTTTCTAATATCTAATCTAAACCTACTCTCCTTCTGCTTAAGGCCATTCCCCATTGTCCTACCACAACACATCCTTGTGAAAAGTCCCTCTCCCCCTTTCAAGTCCCTTTTAGGTACTGGAAGGAGCTATAAGGTCTCACTGGAGCTTTCTCCAGGCTGAACAGCCCCAGATCTCTCAGCCTTTCCCTAAAGGAGACGCGCTCCAGCCCTGTGATCAAATTAATGTCCTTCTTTGGACTCTTTCCAACAGGTCAACACCTTTCCTGTGCTGGGGATCCCACAGCTGGATGCAGTGTCCCAGATGGGGCCTCACAAGAGCAGAGTAGAGGAGCAGAATCACCTCTGCAAACTTTCAGGGTGCCCTTGATCCCACTGTCCATGTCATCAACAAAGATGTTAAACAGTCCTGGTCTCAGTACCATCCCCAAGGACACCACCTGTCACTGGTCTCCATTTGGACCACAATCCTTTCAACACAGCCATCCAGCCAATTCCTTATTTGCCAAGTGCTCCGTCCAACAAAAGCATGACTCTCCAGGCTGGACTCAAGGATGTTGTGCAGGACAGTGTCAAATGCTTCACACAAGTCCAGGCAGATGATGTCTGCTGCTCTTCCCTCATGCGCCACTGCTGTAACCCCATTGCCGAAGGACAACAAATTTGTCAGGTATGAGTTGCCTTTAGTGAAGCCATGCTGTCTTCACCAATCATCACCTTATCTTCCATGTGCAAGGCTCATGGGAGAAGGCTCTGGGGACACCTTATAGCTCCTTCCACTACCTAACAGGGAACCTACAAGAAAGCTGGAGAGGGACTTTTTACAGGGGCATGTAAAGATAGGACAAGGGGAACAGCTTCAAACCAAAAGAGGGTAGATTTAGATACAGTAGTACGAAGAAATTTTCTACTGTGAGGGTGGTGAGGCACTGAGACAGGTTGCCCAGAATGCTACTGAAGTGTTCAAGGCCAGGCTGGATGGGACTTGGAGCAACACGATCTAATGGAAAGTGCCCCTGCCTAGGGCAGGGGAGTTGTAACCAGATGATCTTTAAGGTTCCTTCCAATCTAAACCCTATGATTCTATGAAATCTGAGCCCAGTGGTGGCCAGCTCTCACAGAAAACCTCTCCAGATAGAAATTTCCCACCATAAGAATTGCTGATGTTACAGTTGAAGTATGTAACAAACTAGCACCATGCTTCTTGCAGGACACCAACAGATCTCAGTGCTGTGCAGCAGAAAGGTCTATACCTCTAAGCAGAGCTTCTAAGACCAGGCAAAACTGCTGTGTTAGACACCAGGAAACACTGCAGGAAAACAGCCCTGGCATCACACTGCAAAGATAGGAGAAACAAGTCTATACAGAAATTATGGCTTCACTTTGCTGTACACACTAAAGACAGACTCCGGAGTAGTAAAAACACAAACAAGACACAGACTGTTATTAATAAGCCATACTGGAGAACTTTTCTGGGTCACCTTTGGTAACTATGTCTCTCCAGATCAGTGTCATTGATTCTACACCTGTCAGTCTCTATCTTTCAAAACTGAGACAGAAATAACCTGAGCAGGTCTGCTAAATTTCCCGAAGCATTGGAAACACAATGAGAGTTGGCATGCTGTATTTCTGCATCACAACAACGCTATTTTTCTCTTTTCTCTTTCAAGTTGTCTTTTAAGTCACTACAAAAAAATAATTTAAAAAGTAAATGACAATTAAATGAACATATAGAACAAGCAGAGATCTTTATAGCACTAACATCTGTTTAAAGCAATTAAAATAAGAACTTGCAACTACATTATTAGTAATTAATATAAATATATGGTTACCAACTTCTTACTAGTTGTAAATAAAGAGTAAAAAATGGGAATTTGGTTGTCTATCTGTATAAAGCCAAAAATCACTGCACCAGATGCCTAGCTACAACAATCCCATTTTTTAAGAGTTGAGAGATACTGATAAATTCAGTCTCGGGTGGTTCCCTAGAAAAATTCATAGTATCATATTATACACAAAACTTGGAAATTATGTGTTACACTGGCTACACTGGATATAGTGCAGCTTAAGAATCTAGCTCTAAAGTTACATTGACTGTAAAACATGAAATGCTAAATATAGCTGTAATTCAGAAGATTCAACAGTCAAAAGAAAAACATATGTATGTAACTTTTAAAAATTAAAAACCTATTAAAGTACGGAGGAGAAAGCCCACTTGACGTAAATGAGTACTTGGACTTCTGCAGTAAAAAGTTGCAGGTCATTATGAGTCACTCCATCATTCACTTCCCTCAGATGCAGAGCAGAAATAGAACAGATGTAGGAAATTGAAACATACCAAGAAAGAAGCAGAATATGACTCAATAAATGTAACCCATTAGAGCTTATTATTTGATATAAACTGCCTTGCGCAATCCTTCCCAAGACTGGAAACTGTTTTCCTTTGTCCACATCTATCCAGAATTTTATTAAGACTTTGGTTCTGTCATGGGATGCCTATTTTTCTTATTTATCCATTCAGTCATCTTTCTATGTCATATGGAAGAAAGTTTGAGGACAGCATTCTCTTAGCTATAATTTTCTTAGTGGAATCTTTTATCTTCCACAGTTCAAAATGTTCACAGGAGAACAAGAAGAACAGAAGATGAAAATTCTATATACGAAATATATTGACAGTGCAAAAGCAATCTTGTTTACACAAAACTTCCATTACCACACTTCAATCAAAACCGGGAACAGTTAAATGAATCATCAGCATCTGCTGGATTTTAAAACTCTGTCACCATAGTTTTTCAGGTCAAACTAACCCATTAAAATGAAAATTTATCTTAATTTCTGTCTCATTAAAATAATGTCCATGTTAAAAAATAGCCCCAAAGATGAATACCTTTTGGAGTGCATGATATATAATATGCCATGGAATTCCAAAATGCCCTGTCCCAAAACGGTCCCGATTTACTCAGCAGATTGTTAACCTTCAAGTTACTTCAGTAGGTTTATGCTTTTGAAATGGCATTTTAAATGTAGAACTACATATAAAGAAAGGAGATTTCCAGAACGTGCTTCAGAAGAAGGAGAAACCTCCAGTTTCAGGGTAGTGTCTAGATTTTAATCCACGGAAGTGGCATATGCATCTAGTGCTGTGTTTTTCCCCTTCCTTTTTGCTTACATCACAAGTTGAAGGTGGACTTACGCAGTTTTGCCCTCACTATCTTGCTTGGTGGCACTGGCTCCCTTTTTACCCAGCAATGAAGCCACTTTCTCAGGATCGCCATTCTCCACTGCCAGCAGGAGCCGATCATCATTCTTATTCCACTCGTTGGTCTGGAGTAAAAGAAAAAGAAGGGAGAAATATTATCAGTACCAGCACCATGTAAAGGCTCTCCCAGATGATCCTGCCCACATTTATCACCATGGAAAGCTTAAACAAAAGCCCTACCCAAAGAAATGGTACAAAGAAAGTCACATAAAAGTAACCTGCAAGCTGTGCAGCACGGGTTCCCGAGGACTTAATGGCTTAAACTAAGGCCTGAGCAACAACTGAAGATGATCTCTAATTTGGAAACTCTCTAGATAAGTAGTGCAGGTAAAATTTCCATATTTTCTTACTGACTTTTTAGAGGTACTCCTTCATTTTTTCTAGTCCTGGTTTCTACTTCAGAGCTGTACTGGCCCCATCAGACCTTCATGACATACATCATGTGAAAAGCAAAGAGATGTCTCATCCAGACCCCACCCTTTCCAGTCAAAACTTTCCATATTTAAGGCATTTCTCAGCTCTCACTTTGTAGAGGACAACAGGTTAAGAGACTGCCCTTTGCAGATGGTAACTAGCTTTACTAAGCTCTTATCCCCTGTGTTTTTTCTTAAAGCAGCCAAACAAATGAGCCACTTAAGTAGATAGCACATCCCTAATGCTGCTGAAAGAAAGGACAACCATCCTACTTTCAGATCTTTCCAAACTTAATCCCCTAAGTCTTTTTGATCCTTCTCAGCATCTGAGTAATAAGGAATAGGACACCACTTCCTAAAACGATGATTCTCCCTCCTCCGAACCCTCAGGACGTGGCCTATTTCCCCCACCAGATGTTCAAGTTGAATCTAGAAAGACCATAAGAAAACAGAGGACTGTTAACTTTCTGTATGCCATGTGATTACAGCGAAACAAGCTCTGTAAAAAGAAGTTGAAAGTTGCATTCATGCCTTGTAGTCTCTAGACTAGAAAACGTAAGTGTTCAGTCTTCAGGAAAAGCAATCTGGTGCAGACAAAAACCTGCGTTTGAGTTACTGTTAGCACCCTACTACCCTCAGGAGACTTATTTTCAACAGAGTATGGTTTTCTCTTTGACACCAGGCAGCTCATCTCCAGCATGACTGCCTGTTCATGAGCACTTGGTTTCTACACAACTTCTGGAACTACCAAGTTCATATTAATACACACCTTGAGAAATATTCAAATTAATAAAAACCAAACAAACCCCCCTCGCACCACAACACTTTGTCCTTATGCTCAATACAGACTTTTTTGGTTCCAGATAAATAAAAAAAATGATGTTTCTCTGTCTGGGCTTATGAGGAAAAGTGTATGATGTACACACTGATACAAACTAACTCCACGGGCTGTGAACACTGAAAAACCAGAACAGGAGGGATAGTGTTCCAGGTTACAAGTAATTTAAAAAAACAAAACCCAAACCAAACAACAAAAAAACCCCACAACAAAACAAAACAAACCCCAAAACAACAACAACAACAACAACAACAACAACAACAACAACAACAACAACAACAAAACAAACCAAAAAAACCCAAACATTAGGGAGAGTGCAGAGTGATGCAAGCAGGAGTTGAAAGAACACCACCTGGAACCAAGAGTATGAATGGCAGCTCTGTCAAAGGAAGAGGCAAGCAACTGCAGTCTGTTATGGCAGTGGTATGACTGGTGGGTAGATGCACATCAAGCAGGTTACAGTCTTTATTCTTATAGCACTGCAATAAACTTCTGTAGACTCTAGAGCAGTAATTACATCAGCAAAAAAAAATTGTTTCCCGGAGCAATATTTAGATTCCATGGCAGTGAGTGGCCAGCCAAACAGCAGGCTCCACCTAAAATGAAACTCATGGCCTATTCTGCATTTAGGGAATTTCATGCTTTAAAGGGAGTCTATTATTAAAAGCAGATGTTAAAAAAAATGTAGCTTACTTGTAAATAAAATCCTTTAAAGTTAACACTGTTTATTTGACAGTATATTATACCCTTTGCTTTGGAGTTTGTCCTGTTTCTGGGCTTTATTACTAAGATACTTAAATATAGGCTATTAATGAATCACCCTTACCCACAAATCACCAAGATGACTGCAAAGCATTGGTAGCACCTAACTCCTACAATTTTTTTTTTAAACTTTTTTTGTGTGTGCGTGTTTTATATCTTTGAAAATACAGACGGAGATGGTAGGTAGCACACACACACACACCACACACACGTAATCTAATACTAAACCATATGTTGAAGAAGAAACACGTATTTTAAGATTTTTTTCTGACTTGAAGTAACCACTTTACTTCTGAAACATGAATCAGAATAAACTACAGGAAAATGTTAAGATAATGGCCTGCTGAAAATGCTTGGCAGAACAGCTTTCAGAAGAATGTTCAGCTTTTAAGTACAAAAATGGCCACATCTTCAGGAAGCAGTTTCATGAATACTCCTTCAATACTCAGATATTAAATTGAAACATTATTGACCTATAATCCAATATCCAGTATTCTGATATAAGCAAGTAAGCATGCTAATACCGGCTGCCAAGTTTAAGAAGTATCCGAGATAAAGTGTCAATTTCCTCTTTGAGAAGCTGCTGTGGTAACTATATCCATCTATAATTACACTAACGTCCCAGACCCAAGAGAAACCAACACAGCTGAGTCCCAAATTACCCCTCAGTAGTATGGAAGCAGCACCTAGGAGATACACAAATACTGAATAGGGAAGCCTGGAGTATTCTCAAAGTGATTCTGATGTTGCAGAACAATGCCATGTTCATGCTCACACTAAAATGTTTTATCACATATGGAATCACTCTCTTACAAGTACATAGGCTTTAATTCATCTTTATTATAGTTTTCAACCATATTCTTTTGGTAAAAAAAAGTAAACACACACAAACACAATTAAAGAAAGACTTAATGATGCCTCATTTAAAAAGCTGCTGTGTACTTATCTGAACAGATAAAAAGATTCTCTCATACTTAGGAATTAAAACAGAACCAAACTTGGACAAGCCATTAATTAATGCATTCTCTCACAGGGACTTGGAAAACAGTACTATCAGATTCATCTCAGTGTCAAGGAAAAACTACCAGTGTACATCTCTTTTAATTTTCATACAAAGCTGGATAATTAATTCTTGCTTAGAGGAAAGTGGTAGAGGTTGATGGTTAGGCTAGAAGATCTGTATTTGGAAGTCATTTTAGATCCCTGTTTTCAATTCTATATCTAAATCATGTCTCCTCTTCTAAGCACTGTGACTCAGAGCTGTTAAAGGAATGAATAATTTTAGAGACTGTCACATACCCAAATCTGCTTACACTAGTTCGTGCAAATGCATGTTGAACATTTTTAACACTACTGTACCTGAAACTTTGTTTTGGTCCTGGAAAACAAAAGGATACACGCAATTCCTCTTCATCACTGCGCAGCAGAGTTATGCTTATTTATAACCTAAAATAGCTGTGTTCTAAGTAAGAGGCTTAAAAGCCACCACGCTCTATTACTTATATTAAGTTATGCATCTTTTCATTAAAGCAATAAAAATTCCATTCTAGGGCATCAAACACTTGTTATTATTGTAGAAAAAAATGCCAGTTTTATACAAGTTATATAAATCCATTTACAGACCTCATTTTATTTTCAAAATGAAATTAAGGGTAAATCTGTCCACAAAGGAGAAAAGTGTGCAGGCATCTGAACTGTCGTTTAAGTATCCCTCTGATAGGATCAAACTGTTTTTAAATTCCCCACTGTGCTCAAAATACCAGCATTGTACAATGCATTCCAAAAGTTAAAGGTACAGCTAATACAATAAATGGCATGTAATACATTCTCAAAAACACCCATTAAAAAATTGTAGCCCTACTGTCCATGTTCCCTAGGGGAAGCAAAATCTAGAAGGAAAGAGAATACATATGACACCCAGAAAGATACTATACCCAGGATTTGGCAAGAAAGTAAGAGGCATTTAAGTAAGTAGGGCTCTTACAGTCTCATGTAATCAAAAATTGCACAGGCACTGCTGCCCAGAGCAGATCAGAAAACACATATTTCTGAACAGAGGGAGTGACTGATTGTTGCATTGCACACATTTTCTGAATCTCTTGCAATATTAGCCTGGTCTTGACCGCACAAGCCTCACATCATTAAGTATACACCAAAGACTTGGGAGGTAACTTCTGCTGGGATGATGCAAAACATGGGTACTCCCAGTTATGGTTTATTGTTCAGTGTAAAACCCACCTTGAGCTGACATCTATCATGCAGCATAGCATTTGTTTCTCCTGCAGAACATACACATGGGAGATGCTCTCTGCCGAGAGTACCGGGTGGCCATTTAAGGTGGAGGCCTTAACTTCATAAACCTACTCTATCGAGCTTCCTCCACTGCAGCCCCACAAACCATCCCATTCCACTTGTCCAAGCTGACCAAGTATTTCTGTAAATCCCCTTCTTCAGCTCTGTGCCACATCCTGTCCCCTCTATCACAAGCCTCCTCACTCCCTTTGCTTTCAGGTCTCACCCAAGAGCATTGCATGGCACTGACCACCAAACTTGGGAAGTTTCAATTCTGTTACTATCACTCTGTCAAGTAATAAAGGATAATAAAAGAATGTTTTATGTCAGAGATGCCCTCACATGTAACCTTCTGAGCAAACCCTCATAGAGCACTTCAAAATTAAGATTAACACAGAGTAGCAGCATAATCTTCAGGAAAATGTTTAATACAGCACAAGCGCAGGCTCGAGAAGCTAAGCAGGTACTACTTTTCATTAGCAATAAAACTGGGGATTCTTTGGTTTTAGCTTGTTTTTTGTTTTGTTCGAGTTTCCTTGTTTTGTTTAGGAGCTGCAAATAGCAAGTTAGTCAACTGAGTATTTGGCATGACACATGGTGCTATACCTGCAGCATGCAAGTGAAAAAAAACCCTGAGCATCTCAGTGTAAAGATAAATATACATGTGTAACAAATTTGGAAGAATCTGATCCTGGAAAAGACTGCCTCCATCCCTACCCCCCCATACACACCCACTTCTGTAAGCCACGTGCCAAGCAGT